CGGCCGCTGTCGCGCTGCTAGCCCCCCCCCCCCTCCCTGCCTGCTGCCTCCTCCTCCCAGCTCTTCTCTCACCTCCGCACTGCGGCCGGCCAGCCATCCAGCCGTTGGAGGCCCGCCCTGGTGCTGGCTGCTGCTTGTGGCCTTGGGCAGGCCCGAGTAGAGGGGCCAGGAGCTGCCTGTCCTGCCCACACCCTGCTGGGGCCTCCCTCTCCCTCCCTCCACTGAATCCGGCCTAGGTTAATTATAACTCTGACCTAAGTGCCCTGTGACACCCTGCCCCCCCGGCCCTGCTTGGAGACCCAGCAACCAGGTAGGGGAGAGGCCTAGAGAGGAGACTTCCTCTGCATGGGGTAGTTAGCTGAGGGGTGGGGTGGGGGTGGAGGTGCGGTGCTGGGGGAGGAGCCTCAGACCCTTCCCCTGCAGGTGTAAGTCCCTATTGGTCTGAGAGGCCCTCAGGTTGTCTGGATGATTGAAGGAAGAGGGCGGGGAAGCCAGTTAAGGAGCCAAAGCAGGTGCCCATGGAGACAGAGCCGGGCCTGCCCTGAAATCTGCTGCTTCCTGCTCTCTGGAGAGCCTTCTGTTCCCCAGGTCCATGTCTCAGCTATGCTCCCCACGGACGAGCCCCTGTCCCACCTGGGCCCCTCGCTGCTGCTGTTGCTGCAGCTGCAGCTACTGCTGCCCCCTGCATCTGCCTTCTTCCCCAATATCTGGAGCCTCCTGGCTGCCCCCGGCTCCATCACCCACCAGGACCTGACGGAGGAGGCGGCGCTCAACGTCACCCTGCAGCTCTTCCTGGAGCAGCCGCCCCCAGGTCGGCCCCCGCTTCGCCTTGAGGACTTCCTGGTGAGCGTCCCTGGGTCCTGTCACATCCCAGGTGGATTCCCCCATTCTGGGGGACTTATACTACTTGAGGGTCCTGCTTGCCCAGAGAAGGGACCCCACGCACACATTCCCTCCTCCCCTCCTGACATCAACAATACCCAGGAGTCCTGGTCCTACAATCAGGAGTCCCCCTCCTTAGGAATGTCCAGGATTGCCTCTCCCTTGTAGGGCCCAGCACCCTCAATTCCTCCCACACCCAGCCTGGAGTGACAGAGCTGAGGAAATGTAGGCAGTGGTCCGATCCAAGGGGCTTCCCTGGAACCCCTGCCCCCTACCACCCTCCCAGGGCCGCACTCTCCTTGCCGACAACCTCTTTGCCGCCTACTTCGGACCTGGGTCTCCTTCCCGGCGGTTCCGAGCAGCCTTAGGAGAGGTGTCTCGTGCCAATGCCGCCCAGGACTTCCTGCCGACTTCCAGGAATGACCCTGACTTGCACTTTGATGCCGAGCGGCTGGGCCAGGGGCGCACACGCCTGGTGGGAGCTCTAGGGGAGACTGTGGTGGCGGCCAGAGCCCTTGACCACAGCCTGGCCCGCCAGCGCCTCGGGGCTGCGCTTCATGCCTTGCAGGTGAGGACAGAGTTGGTGGGTCGTGGTCAGAGGGGTCTTCGTTTCCAGTCTTCCTGTCTCCCGAATGGTGCCTCCTTAGCCATGCCTCCCCCTACTCTAGAAGGGGCTGGGGCGCTGCTTGCCAAGGCCCTGGGGCTATTCCCTAGTCCCCGCCTCCAAACTGGCAGCTTCCTGTGGGAACAGCTGGGAGGCATTGGCGGCTGGAGCAGGTGAGTGAGAGAGGACGGTGCTGAGGTCAAGAGGTGGGCCGTGCAGGCCACTGAAAGGCCTCTGGCTGGGCTCTGAGTGAGATGGGAAGAAATGTGGGAGGCTCCCACTTCGGCAAAGCTCTATTCTGGGCAAGGGAGAGAGCAGTGGAGGGGACTTGGGGTGTCTGGGGCGTAGCAGGGTGGGAGGAGGCTTTCAGGCTGGGGAACTGGGAGGAAGGGGAGTCAGGGCTGGAAACGGAGAGAACGGTAAGCTAGTGCTTCTTCCCCTTCTCCTTTCTCTTGGGACCAGGATTTCTACAGTCACAGCAACTGGGTGGAACTGGGGAAGCAGCAGCCACACCCTCACCTCCTCTGGCCAAGGCAGGGGCTGCGGAACCTGGCGCAAGGTACGGCCGGGACCCCACTGGTGAGGGTGAGCCCACAGAGCTGCCTCACATCCTGGGGTCAAATAGGGTGCGACATGGCTTCATCTCTGGAACCACCTGTGCGGTCCCTCGGTTCAGCCAAAGGCCAGTCAGCTGCTTCCCCAAGGTCACGCAGCAGAGGACAGAGCCAGGACCAGATCTGCAGACGTCAGGAAGTTCTCTGTCTTTCAGGCGGCTTCCTCCCCCGACTGGATCGCATGGGGGGCTTTCGCTCTCAGTCCCCTCATCCTTCCAACTGAACTGTGACCCGGAAGCTGCCTCCTGTCTAGAACAGGTTCACTTCCTGTCCACAGCTCACAGAGGGCACACTCCCGTAGGATTGGTCCCCCCACCCCCACTTCCGGGTTTTCTAGCACAGTCCCAGCCTCAGATATTAAGTCTCATTGCCAGCCATGAGCTCCAGGTTTTAGTTCAGAAAGTCTGGAAGGGTACCTGCAAAGGGTACCTATGGGCTTTTACCTTGTTCCAGTTGAGAGGAAAAGCTGAAGTTCGGGTCGGCCGCTGTCGCGCTGCTAGCCCCCCCCCCCCTCCCTGCCTGCTGCCTCCTCCTCCCAGCTCTTCTCTCACCTCCGCACTGCGGCCGGCCAGCCATCCAGCCGTTGGAGGCCCGCCCTGGTGCTGGCTGCTGCTTGTGGCCTTGGGCAGGCCCGAGTAGAGGGGCCAGGAGCTGCCTGTCCTGCCCACACCCTGCTGGGGCCTCCCTCTCCCTCCCTCCACTGAATCCGGCCTAGGTTAATTATAACTCTGACCTAAGTGCCCTGTGACACCCTGCCCCCCCGGCCCTGCTTGGAGACCCAGCAACCAGGTAGGGGAGAGGCCTAGAGAGGAGACTTCCTCTGCATGGGGTAGTTAGCTGAGGGGTGGGGTGGGGGTGGAGGTGCGGTGCTGGGGGAGGAGCCTCAGACCCTTCCCCTGCAGGTGTAAGTCCCTATTGGTCTGAGAGGCCCTCAGGTTGTCTGGATGATTGAAGGAAGAGGGCGGGGAAGCCAGTTAAGGAGCCAAAGCAGGTGCCCATGGAGACAGAGCCGGGCCTGCCCTGAAATCTGCTGCTTCCTGCTCTCTGGAGAGCCTTCTGTTCCCCAGGTCCATGTCTCAGCTATGCTCCCCACGGACGAGCCCCTGTCCCACCTGGGCCCCTCGCTGCTGCTGTTGCTGCAGCTGCAGCTACTGCTGCCCCCTGCATCTGCCTTCTTCCCCAATATCTGGAGCCTCCTGGCTGCCCCCGGCTCCATCACCCACCAGGACCTGACGGAGGAGGCGGCGCTCAACGTCACCCTGCAGCTCTTCCTGGAGCAGCCGCCCCCAGGTCGGCCCCCGCTTCGCCTTGAGGACTTCCTGGTGAGCGTCCCTGGGTCCTGTCACATCCCAGGTGGATTCCCCCATTCTGGGGGACTTATACTACTTGAGGGTCCTGCTTGCCCAGAGAAGGGACCCCACGCACACATTCCCTCCTCCCCTCCTGACATCAACAATACCCAGGAGTCCTGGTCCTACAATCAGGAGTCCCCCTCCTTAGGAATGTCCAGGATTGCCTCTCCCTTGTAGGGCCCAGCACCCTCAATTCCTCCCACACCCAGCCTGGAGTGACAGAGCTGAGGAAATGTAGGCAGTGGTCCGATCCAAGGGGCTTCCCTGGAACCCCTGCCCCCTACCACCCTCCCAGGGCCGCACTCTCCTTGCCGACAACCTCTTTGCCGCCTACTTCGGACCTGGGTCTCCTTCCCGGCGGTTCCGAGCAGCCTTAGGAGAGGTGTCTCGTGCCAATGCCGCCCAGGACTTCCTGCCGACTTCCAGGAATGACCCTGACTTGCACTTTGATGCCGAGCGGCTGGGCCAGGGGCGCACACGCCTGGTGGGAGCTCTAGGGGAGACTGTGGTGGCGGCCAGAGCCCTTGACCACAGCCTGGCCCGCCAGCGCCTCGGGGCTGCGCTTCATGCCTTGCAGGTGAGGACAGAGTTGGTGGGTCGTGGTCAGAGGGGTCTTCGTTTCCAGTCTTCCTGTCTCCCGAATGGTGCCTCCTTAGCCATGCCTCCCCCTACTCTAGAAGGGGCTGGGGCGCTGCTTGCCAAGGCCCTGGGGCTATTCCCTAGTCCCCGCCTCCAAACTGGCAGCTTCCTGTGGGAACAGCTGGGAGGCATTGGCGGCTGGAGCAGGTGAGTGAGAGAGGACGGTGCTGAGGTCAAGAGGTGGGCCGTGCAGGCCACTGAAAGGCCTCTGGCTGGGCTCTGAGTGAGATGGGAAGAAATGTGGGAGGCTCCCACTTCGGCAAAGCTCTATTCTGGGCAAGGGAGAGAGCAGTGGAGGGGACTTGGGGTGTCTGGGGCGTAGCAGGGTGGGAGGAGGCTTTCAGGCTGGGGAACTGGGAGGAAGGGGAGTCAGGGCTGGAAACGGAGAGAACGGTAAGCTAGTGCTTCTTCCCCTTCTCCTTTCTCTTGGGACCAGGATTTCTACAGTCACAGCAACTGGGTGGAACTGGGGAAGCAGCAGCCACACCCTCACCTCCTCTGGCCAAGGCAGGGGCTGCGGAACCTGGCGCAAGGTACGGCCGGGACCCCACTGGTGAGGGTGAGCCCACAGAGCTGCCTCACATCCTGGGGTCAAATAGGGTGCGACATGGCTTCATCTCTGGAACCACCTGTGCGGTCCCTCGGTTCAGCCAAAGGCCAGTCAGCTGCTTCCCCAAGGTCACGCAGCAGAGGACAGAGCCAGGACCAGATCTGCAGACGTCAGGAAGTTCTCTGTCTTTCAGGCGGCTTCCTCCCCCGACTGGATCGCATGGGGGGCTTTCGCTCTCAGTCCCCTCATCCTTCCAACTGAACTGTGACCCGGAAGCTGCCTCCTGTCTAGAACAGGTTCACTTCCTGTCCACAGCTCACAGAGGGCACACTCCCGTAGGATTGGTCCCCCCACCCCCACTTCCGGGTTTTCTAGCACAGTCCCAGCCTCAGATATTAAGTCTCATTGCCAGCCATGAGCTCCAGGTTTTAGTTCAGAAAGTCTGGAAGGGTACCTGCAAAGGGTACCTATGGGCTTTTACCTTGTTCCAGTTGAGAGGAAAAGCTGAAGTTCGGGTGGACAGGGATAAAGGTCAGGGGCAGCAGAATCTTGGGTGCCAGACCCTTGCCCTCTCTTCCCAGTGGGCGATCCTACCTGCTCCGACTGTGACGAGTGGAGCTGCCCTGGGAATTTGCTGGGCTTCACACTCCTCACCTCTGGCTACTTTGGAACTCATCCCTCCAAACCTCCAGGTACCAGACAGGAAAGCCCCCAGAAGTAAGGGGAGAATGTCACTTCCTCTCCCCTGACCCTCTCCCTAGGGACCTCAGTCTTGTAGCCCTTGTCCTATTTCCTATGGCATCACTTCTTGGAAGAAGGAGAGGATGCTGGGAGGGGAGCGGGTGGATGAAGGCCCACTAAGGTGGCCATGATTGTTGGGGTGGTGGGAGTAGCTTCTTACACTGCTGATAAGACATCAGTGCCCGAGGGCAGCTTTTGGGGACTAACTGGAGGGATCAGGGGATCTACCGTGTGCTGTGGTAACTAATCATTCCAGATTTACTCCAGATTTGCCCTCTACAAAATATCATAATTTTCTGCTTATCCTTTGCTGAGGAGTGAGGGGGTCAGGGCAGGTCAGAGAGGGCCTCGTTTTATTAGGAGGCAGTGGGTTTTTTACCTCTACCCTCCAGATCCCTTTCCCCAACCCAGGGAAATGTAGCCATGGGGGCCATTTTGACCAGAGCAGCTCCCAGCCACCACGGGGAGGCATCAACAAGGATAGCACATCCCCAGGCTTCTCCCCCCACCACATGCTGCACCTCCAGGCTGCAAACCTGGCCCTTCTGGCCTCCATCCAGGCCTTCAGCCTCCTACGAAGCCGCCTGGGAGACAGGGGTTTCTCCAGGTGAGTGGCCTCCTGGGGATGGGCTCCTTAATAGGTAGGTGCTCCAGAGTTGAGAAACCAGGGCCCGGGGACAAGTGTGCAGACCCTTCACTCTATCTCTGGCCTGCTTCCCAGGCTGCTGGACATCACCCCAGCCTCCAGCCTGAGCTTCGTCCTGGATACCACAGGCAGTATGGGCGAGGAGATCAATGCCGCCAAAATCCAGGCTCGCCACATTGTGGAGCAGCGACGGGGCGGCCCCATGGAGCCCACCCACTATGTCCTGGTGCCTTTCCATGACCCAGGTAACTGGGGTCTGGCCGGAATAGTGGAGGGAAGTCCAGGGCAAGGGGTATAAATGCCACTGGTAGGGAAGTGGGCCTAATGGCTTCATTTCCATAATAAAAGGGAGGCACTTCCTAGGGTCCTCAGTGAGTCTTTACTGGTACTTGTGTGCATATAGGAAACAATCAGCCACGTCTTCCACTGCTTCCAACATGACAGCACTTTTCGTATGAGTTTAATCATTATGGGTGCTTAGGCAGGTAGCCTCTGCTTTCTTAGGCTTCCATTCTAATAAGTCATTTTCAGTTCTCTCCATTTCCTGTAGACAGAGGTTGGGATGAAGATGGGGGGGCGGGTTGGTGGGTCCAGGCCTCTCTGAAATGTCTAAGACAGCTAGTTACATCATATTCCTTTCCCCACTAAATTAGAAGTCAGATCATCTGGCCTGGGTTGACCAGCACTTACTGTGTGTACTTAGGCTGATTGTTTAACCTCTCTTTCCTCAATTTCATCATCCATAAAGTGGATTAGTACTTGCCTTATCCCTCCTGTCTCCCAGGGTCAAAATGATCATCAAATAAAATTTGGGTTGAGAATTCCCTAAGGGCAGGGTTTGAGTCTGATCTGCCTATATAAATCTCATAGTAGCTGACATTCAAAAGGGGGTTTATCGGGCTTCCCTGGTGGCACAGTGGTTGAGAGTCCGCCTGCCAATGCAGGGGATGCGGGTTCGTGCCCCGGTCTGGGAAGATCCCACATGCCGCGGAGCGGCTGGGCCCGTGAGCCATGGCCGCTGAGCCTGTGCGTCCGGAGCCTGTGCTCCGCAACGGGAGAGGCCACATCAGTGAGAGGCCCGCGTACCGCAAAAAAAAAAGGGGGGGGGGTTATCACATATTTGATAAAGGTACGAGTAAGTGAATAATTAAGAATTTAGCACTTATTATGTGTCAAAGCACTATTCTAAGATTTACAAAATCAACTCATTTAATCATCCCAATAACCCTCTCTGAGGTAATTACTATTATTTCTGTGTCTTTTCTGTGAGGAAACTGAGGACCCAGTTTTTTTTGTTGTTGTTTTTTAGTTGAAGCACAGTTGATTTACAGTGTTGCAGGTGTCCAGCAAAGTGATTCAGTTATATCTATTCTTTTTCAGTTTCTTTTCCATTATAAGTTATTACAAGATATTGAGTATAGTTCCCTGTGCTATACAGTAGGTCCTTGTTGGTTATCTATGTTGGCTTTTTTTTTTTTTTTTTTGGCTGCGTCGGGTCTTTGTTGCTGCGCGTGGGCTTTTCTCTAGTTGTGGTGAGCGGGGGGCTACTCTTCGTTGCAGTGTGCGGGCTTCTCATTACGGTGGCTTCTCTTTGTTGCAGAGCACGGGCTCTAGGCGCACGGGCTTCAGTAGTTGTGGCGCGTGGGCTTAGTAGATTTGGCTCGCGGGCTCTAGAGTGCAGTCTCAGTAGTTTTGGCGCACAGGCTTAGTT